CTTCTTTGCACCTTCCCCCAAGGAGACTGCTTCTGATTTTATGATTCACAACTAAATTTCTTGTTTAAAAGGCCATTTTCCTAAGAAACATGGGATATGAGCTAGCAGGGGCTAAAAACAGAATGCTGTGAAAAATATTTAAATAAATGCATAAAGAATTGAGAGTTAAAACAATCTACTGAGGACAGCGGGTGTCCGTGGGTCAGTAAGGAGTGGTTTGAGCATTTTCCTAATTGTTTTGGACACAAATTATCAGATATCTACCTCATTTCTAATCATCACTCCACAAACATACGCAAACACAGTAATCTATGTTTCTTATAAATATGGGTTCCATTGAGGTGCATTCTGATGTAGCTACCAGTCGAGGTCTCTAAGGCCAGCAATGGGCAAAGTGGTTCCTTAATGGGGTGGTGACTTTGAGCTAACTGTGCCTTGGAGCAATGCACTTGAATGGAAAGTACAGTCCAAGAGGAGCCTGCACACATACTACAGACTGTTCTTTCTCTGAGGAGCTAGCATGCTTTAGGGTTTCCTATTAGGAGTTGAGTTAAAAAAAAATTCCATATGGCATCAGGTCAGAGGACCAGACGGTCTAGGTTCACATTACTGTAACTGTCATTATTCTGAGTATTTAGTGAGAGCTGACAAAGTATCCTGTTGTGTCTCTGCTACACCACAGGGTGTGGAGAGTTGGAACTGCTCATCAAGCCTGGAGTCCTTGTGGGGCAATTTAATAAGAAACTCATAGGAGTTACATGATTATCCCTTTATGAAATGCTTTCTCTCTTGGGCCAATATTGAGAAGACAAACTTTTACCTTCTGTCTCTATTAAGGAAGATAAGTATATTTATAGCACAACTTGTGCTCTGATGTTGTCCTTTTAGGGGTCTATTTTAGCAGACATACTGCTTGAAATGAATGCCTTCCAGTGCCTTCCATATTAGAGAAGCCACTTGTAAACGATTTGAAATATATTCCCTCTATTTCTACTCATTGCCATCTTGTCTCTGACACTAAGAAGATATCTAGGAGTCTCTTTCCATGGACAACTTCAGCTAGGTGAATATTCCCATACAAAGCCTTCTCTCTTCCAACCAAATAAATCTGATTCTTCTACTAGTTTTTCTATAATCAAGAACTTAGAGCCCTGCAGGCTCTGTGACTCTAAGGATACGGTACAGAGAAATAATTACAATGAACATTTATTGAGATCTTACTCTATGTCAGTTACTGTTGCGATCATTTTGCACAAATTAATAAGTTTAATTTTTGTGGAAACTCTATAGTAGGCTTATTATTACCCTCACCTTGAAACTGAGGAAACTAAGCCAAGAGGTTAAACAGGTCGCTTACAGCCATCTCACGGGTAGAGCAACTGGGTTTTGGTTCTAAACAGGAAACTCTTAACTTTAATTTGGTTCTACTCCTCAGTGCCACAAAAATCAGACCGCTGTATGGCAGTTTCTCCAAACTGAAACTTTCCGTCTAGGAGGGAAGAGGAGGCTCCTGAGACTCAACATGTGAACAAAGGGTCACATGTCTGGGGAAGGGAGAACTCAGAAGGTTCTCAAAGGCCCCCCTCAGGTTTACAGCACCATACAACATCTGCTCTGAGAGAAGCTCTGAACAGCTGAGCTGCAACAAAATAGCGTCTCTGACCTGCGAACTATCCGCACGCTGTGCAGAAAGCTCCAGAGTTGCTGCATTGGGGAGGTGTCGCCAATATAGGGTCACATGAGAGGTTTCTGGTCATGCAACTGTACGGGTTTTTTTGTTTGTTTGTTTGGTTGGTTGTTGTTGTTTTTTTGAGCATCCCTGCTCCTGTAAGTAACACTTCACTTGACTCCTTATAGTGACCCCAATAAAAACCCATCAGTCCATTAGCTTGGACTTTGTTGCAATCATTACTTTGGTCTGTTGTTTGGCCGAGTAGAGGTGTGTTGTGTATGTGTGTTGCGTCTCCCCAGGAAAAGTCTTTCACACAACACATGCTACTGCTGATAGTTTAGAGCTGAAAACCTAAGCCAATGTAAGTTTAATAAAATACTAAAACCTGGAAGATGATGTGTCCCCCCTAAAGAAGGTGTCATGGTCAAATGTGTTTAAGAAATACAAAGTGTGACAATGGTCTTCCCACTGCAGGCTTACTAGTTCTTAACTTATTTGTGTGCACTGTGGCTCTCCAAAATCCAGATCTAAAACGGATTGTTGGAGTTCTTTTCTAACAATATAGAATTTTCTAGAATATTTTGTGGGAACATGAGGGATCAGGATGCCCGAGTTGGGTAAGGGATGAAGAGAAAGAGCAATGAAAAGGTATCTTGATAGAAGGGGCCATTATGAGGCTAGGGAGAAACCTGGTGCCAGGGAACCTCCCAGAATTCCACAAGGACGACCCAAGCTAAGACTCCTAGCAATAGTGGAGAGGGTGCCTAAAGTGGCCTTCTCCTGTAATCAGATTGGTGACTACCCTAATTGTCATCCTAGAACTTGCATCCAGTAACTGATGGAAGCAGATGCAGACATCCACAGCCAAAGCCCTGGGCCGAGCTCTGCCAGTCAAGTTGAAGAGAGGAAGGAGGGATTATATGAGCAAAGGGGGTCAAGATCATGGTGGGGAAACCCAGAGAGACAGCTGACCTGAGCTCATGGGAGCTCATGAACTCTAGACAGACTGCTAGGGAGCCTGAATAGGACCGACCTAAGTATGTGGGTGATAGTTATGAGCTTGGTCTGTTTTTGGGGTCCCTAGCAGTGGGACCACGATTGTCCCTGGCATGTGAACTGGCTTTTTGGAACCTACTCCCTATGGTGGGATGCTTCGCTCAGACTTGATGCAGAGGGGAGGAGCTTGGTCCTGCCTCACCTTGGCATGCCATGCTTTGTTGACTCCATGGGAGGCCTCACCCTTTCTGAGGAGTGGTTGGGGGAGGGGGGGTTGGAAAGGAGGTGAGGGGAGAGAACAAGATGTTAGGAGGGAAGGGAAACTGTGATAGTATGCAAAATAAATTTTAAAAATAATTTAAAAAAGAAAAGAAAATATTGCCTTAAAGTTCAGTTTAGTTTCTTTTATTTCTTTTGATTTCATTTTTTGTGTCCAGAAGCTTTGTTAGAACACAAATAAATAAATAAATTAATTAATTAATTAAAGACACAAGCATACAAAAGCAGTGTGACTTCAGCACCCTCCCCTTCATCGGCCAATCATTTTGTTTGTCAGGAGTGTGGGCGTCACAGAGATCCTGGACTTGAAAGCCTGAGAGCCAAGGTCCAATCCCACCTCCACTGCACATTTCCTGTGTAATCTTGAGTGAGTTACTCAAGCTCTCAGCCTCAGTTTCCTCATCCACATGTACAAGAATGGCTTCCACCCCCGAGTTTCATGAACATCAAATCAAGAACCTGGTGTGTCTGGCGTACATGTGTGGTGCCATGAGAACAAGAATTTGTTTTCCTCCTTAACTCATGACTTTGAGTGACTATCATTTAACTATGAGCTTTATCAGAGTGTTAATATGGCTTTAAGATGGATGCTGGGTGGGGAGTTTCTATGGTAACTGTTGAAGGTACTTAGGGGAAAGAAATCAATACACACTAACAACAGCCTTCCACCAACCAACAGCACATTGAGCTCTGTATGCTCCTTGGCAGGATGGGTAAATAAGGCCCCCAAGGAATTGAGATTTGGATAGTACATCAAAGAATCCAGCCAGAGCATGTGCACTCACAAGCGAGACACACACACACACACACACACACACACACACACACACACACACAGTGCTCTCCGTCTAGTTCTGCTAATTTATTACTTGTGGTTTGTTTATTAGACTGTAAACAGCCTCTTCATTTATTATTATTTAATCCATTAACTCTGACTTGGCCCCAAGGGGCAGCTTCTCAAGAACATGTGATTCCCTCATGCAAAGGCTAAATAGGTGCACTGGAGCATTTCACAGAAGCATCCTTCTCAGGAGCAGCCTGTCCCTCAGGAAACACTTCTTTCTCTCTGCTTGCTCTGTTTGCTCTTGGGTATTCATCTACCCCCAACTACCACCACCAATTTAGAAAATCAGGTTTTAAGTTTTACATACACCTTATTGTCTACAGTAATTTTAGATGCCCAAAATGGATTAACAGGGCTGAAGGTGTGTCTCGGTATTAGAGCACTTGCCTGGCAATGGCAACACTCTGGATTTCAGACCTAGCACCAGACCACTGTTATTGATAGTTCATTGATTTGAATCTGGTGTCATTTGGTCATGATGATAGCTCATCTTCACTGTCAGTTTGATCAGATTCGTAATCACCTAGAAGACAAACACCTGGATATGTCCGAGAAGGTATGTCAGCAAGTCGTAGGCTCTGGGGGAGAACCTACTACTATTATTCAGCTAAACTGACATAATATTGAACCAACTCCTAATGACTTACCGTGATTATACCCATAGATCAGCTCATCTCTCAACTCTCATCAGAGAAGCCTCTGTTCGTGGTAGGCGGTGATTAGCAGAGATTGAAGTGCAGAGAATGAGAGACTTGGGCTCTCAGCCCTCAATGAGGCATCTGTATCACACCCCTCCCCCCCACCCAAGGCTCGGGGATCATCGCAGGAGGAGTAGAAAGATTGCAAGAGCCAAAGGCCATGGCTGACTAAAGCAGAACAGTGTTCTCCAGACACAGCAGTGCAGTTAGGCGTGGGAGGTCGACAGAGGTGCCAGCGGGCACATGAACTGCAGCAGCGCAAGCCAGACAAAACCACAGCATAGAAAGGGGAGGTAGACGAGATGTCCCGCCTTAGATGAGAAGCTGTTGGTCATGATTGCTGGTGGAAGAGGGAGAATCTGTTTTTTTTTAAGGGTGTGGCCCTGGCAGGTCAACCCAAGTTGGGTGGCAAGGTTATGAAAATGGAACTAGATCTGGGAGAAACTGGAAGAAGGGTGAATACGGCCATGACTATGCGGTTGCCCGAGTCACACGGGAACAAAGCCCTCACCTCAAACAGACGCAGGACCTTGGCGAGGGCACCGACTTCCTCTTTGAGCGAGAAGAGCAGTGAGACGGCCCCGTTGGGGTTGGAATTGTCTTCAATGTAGCTCGTTTCCTGCAAAATTAGATCGCTGGGTCAAAATGTTTCTCACAGCTTAGCAATCAGTCCCCGGAAACCCCCCAGAAGAGGCAAGCATCGACGTTTTCTTCCCCTTACGCGCTGGAACACAGCTCCATGTATTCACAGAAGCCAGGGTGGTCAGACATAAATTAGTCGAGGACACTGAAATAGTGAACGTCACTCCTGGGTTGACTTGAGAAGCTCAAATTACTCATTGATGTCACTAGTCGCTGGCAAAAATCAATTATCTTTTAATGAGCACCCACCGAGTACCAGATCCTATCTCATATCTATGAGAGATGTAAATCTGAATTAAGGTAAATGAACCCATCTTTTCAGTGCCAAAATTCTGACCAGCAGACACATCATATGCAAGAATCCAGGAGATTCTTAGAGGCAGATGTAGTGCTGAAAAAAAAATCTCCTTAAAAAGACGCTGGGAAACAAAATGTGAGAAAACGTTAAAAATGGGACATTCATAGGCTGTGGGTCCAAAGGCCTGGGTGTCATCCTCTCTCATCCATTCACCACCAGGACCATTTTGAGCAGATTAGTTTGCCTCATTTCCTCACCTACAAAATAATAGGAAGAATAAGCTCTGGCCAAATAATATCCAAATGTTGAAAAAAGAAAATATAAGTTTAGATAGAATATTGGCACTATATGTAAAACGATTATCAGACAATGGGTGCCTTCAAGGAGGGAACAAAAGAAACTGGAATAAAAGTAGGTATTTCAGAGTTTGCTAAAACATTTTGTCAAGTTTTAAGATAATTCACAACATTCTGTGTGCACCCCCAATATACAGCATGTTCCTAAAGTGGAGAAGAAAATGTGAGGACCAATTACTCTCTTATAAGGAAGTTAATTAAGTTAATGGTGTGGATATTCCATCATCTCAGGGACAGGAGGCAGTGGTGGCAAGATTCCTGTCAGGGACTCGGGATAATAAGATCGAGAGCACGGAAGACTCTGAGGACAAAAATCTGTAACTTCAGAAAATTCAGATTTTTTCCAGAATCTTATATGAAGCTGGAAGTACCAAACTTATCAGCAAGTTGGTTTATAGGCCCCTTCGAGTAAATTAGAGGATTGTCCTGTCATGTCCCTGTCGGCTGGAGGGATGGTTCAGTGGTTAAGAGCACTCATTGCTCTTACAAAGGACCGAAGTTCAATTCCTAGTATCTACATGGTGGCTTGCAACTATCTGTAACTCCAGTTCCAGGGAATCCAAAGCCTCCTTTGATCTCCGCGAGCTCCTGCATGCAGACGGTACACTTATATACACATTAAATAAATAATAAATATTTTTAAAGAGAAAACTGTATTATCTTAAAGAGATTTTAATGTTCCATGTCCAGTACTTGATTTGGATAATCTCATTGAACTTGGAAAACAATCAAGGGAATAGGTTTTATTGTGCACCAAGCCCCTCCTTTTGTTGATGGAAAGATTCAGCCTTAGGGAGGCTAAGTAACTAGGGCTCTGGAGATAGCTCAGACACGTGATTTTAATCCCAAGACTGTGGAGATGGAGCCAGGTGGATCCCTGGAGCTCCCTGGCCATTCTGGCTAGCTGTATGGCAAGTTCCAGACCAGTGTGACACCTGTCTGTTCAACAAGGAAGAAGGTATGGAAAAAATGACTCTCAAAGTTGTCCTCTGGCTCACGTACACTTGTGCCACTGTATAAGCATGAACTCTCTCTGTGTGTCTCTGTCTCTCTGTGTGTCTTTGTGTCTCTGTCTGTCTGTCTCTCTCTCTCTCTTTCTCCCCCCCCACACACACATGCACACACACACACACACACACACACACACACACACACACACACACGGCTAAGCAACTGGCTCTTAATTCCACAATCAGCAATGGAGCTAATGTATGAACTGGCCCATTAGACCATGCACAATGCCATGAACCATGACCTGCTTCAGTTCTGCCTCTCTCTCTCTCTTCTAAAGCCTGCCAGACATGCAGATGAGCCTGACTTCAGCCTCCCCTCTCCCCCGCCACCACCGCCACCACCCCACCACACCCAGAGAATACTGAGCCTCAGTCCTTTCTGGGTTCCTTGAAACAACAAAGGGCTTTCCTGTTTCGAGTTCACTTTTCTCTTAACCTCCAAGAGAAGTGAGGCATTCCTGATACATGTCAACACATGCCACCTTAGAGCTGAAGACACCTGTGAGAGAATTCCAGGTGTCCACCTCCACCATCCTTCTCCTTGTGTGTGTCCAGCAATCACTGAATCCATTGTCACCTTCTCCAGAAATGACTCTTAGGGAACAGGTCATTTTCTGTCCTTCCCACTGCCATCCCACGAATCTAGCTGAGTGCTCCACAATGCTCCTGTCCTAACAGGGTTTTGCCCATGTCCTTCATTATCAAAATCATTGTTAATGAATTTGAACCATGGACAATTTCAAAACCACTGATAATAAATATGTACTGCCATTGTTCTTAAGTCACAACTTTTCTACAAATTCACATTTATGACATAACATGTCCCTACTCTGCCGTTACTGGTGACAGCACCCCTGTGTGCCCTGAATGGGGCAGGAACCACACCATGTCCTTTTATGCTCAGTACATGTTGTCATTGGCAGCAGCTAGCACTCTTTGCATGGTTTGCCTAGAACAGGCCGTTTGGTCCTCACAAGAGCTGTGAGGGTGGGGAAGCTGCTGTTTGGAAAATAAACACACAGAGGTAGATAGGCCAAGTGGCTAGTCCTAGGCAACCCAGCTAATGCGTAGCAAAGCCTGGGCTTGCAACCAGGTTCGTGGATCCCAACACTGTTACTATGCTTCCCAGGGACAGGCTCAGCTGACACAATTACTCCTTCTTTTCAAAGCATGAAAGGAAGCTCAGAGAAGTTTGTGATGGTGTGGATCTGAACGACAGGTTCATCAAGCCAATCCAGGGCCCGTAAGCTAATCTCTTTCATAGTGCTTTTTTGGGTTTTTTTTTTTTTGGTGGGGGGTTGTTCTTTGTGTAGCTTTGAGCCTATCCTGGATCTCACTCTGTAGACCAGGCCTCGAACTCACAGAGATCTGCCTGGCTCTGCCTCCCGAGTGCTGGGATTAAAGGTGTGCGCCACCACTGCCTGGCTCATAGTGCACTTTTATTGGCTCAGAAACGATGCCTTATTTGATTCTAACAGACGTGGGGATTGGCTTAGAAGCAAAAGTAGCTCCAAAGCTGTCTAGGAAGAAATCGCGCTAGGAAAAGTACCAGGAACCAAAGAGTGGGGAACTTTGACCATTGAGCAATGCATTCAGTGATAAGCACAGACTGTTCTTGTTAGCTATGTGGTGAACACAGATGCCTTCTGTTATCTCTGGAAATAATGACATTTCACATTTACAAGCAATGTGCTCTGTCAAGGATGTTGTAGGGCCAGTGCTGGTGATGTGGGGCTTACAGAGACATGTGCATTTGCATGTGTGATTACAACCCCTTGTGTCCATCCACACTGAAGAACCATTGAAAACAAGATGTGAAGGTCCTGAGCCACACGTCTCTATGAGGCAGGGTGCGGGCATAATATGTCTCCATATTTCAGCGTTGTCGCACAGGAGGAAATGTTACAGTGAAGTAGTGTGCTCAGCTGTGGGAAGCAGATTAGATGGAACACTGGTTGCCCTGTCCCTGCTAGTGGCTCTGAGCTCCTCACTGACCCCACTACTCTGCCTAAGCTCTCCAGAGCTCTTGTCTCTATATGAAACTACATTATGCTTTCATTCTGTTAATCCGTTTACCACTTATCTCCTGGACTAAAGTAGTTTTACCAGAGGAAGAACACCACCGTGACTAGCACACAGTAGGTGCTTCTTGACCTGTTGGGTGAATGAGAGTACCAAACCACTCACTCCCACGGGCCGGTTACATTTGCCATATGGATAAAGCTTTGACATATCCTATGCCCTCAACAAACGGAGGCTCCTTCCTGCAGTCTCCCTGTTCTTAGAACTGTGTCAAATGTAGGCTCTTTATCTGGGTTGGAAGCTTTAAGGAGATGCAAACAGGACTGGTAAGGTGGCTCAGCAGATAGAGGCGCTTGCTCTCAAGCCTGGCAACTTGAGTTCAATACTAAGAACCCACACTATGAAAGGGGAGAACTGGGGCTGGAGAGGTGGCTCAGCGGTTAAGAGCACTGGCTGTTCTTCCAGAGGTCCTGAGTTCAATTCCCAGCAACCACATGGTGGCTGACAACCATTTGCAATGAGATCTGGTGCCCTCTTCTGGCATGCAGGCATACATACAGACAGAACACTGTATACGTAATAAATAAATAAATCTTAAAAAAAAAGAAAAAAAGAAAGAAAGAAGAGAACTGCCCCTCCAAGTTGTCCTCCAACCCCTACACATACCATGGCACATACTGCACCTCCTCACACACACACAAACAAATATAATAAAAAAAAATTTTTAAACTCAAAAATGTGTCTGTGCTGCAGACTGACAGAGCTAGAAGACACCATAAATACTAACCTATTCCCGCATCCCACCTCAATTTTATAGATACTAAACAACCTCCTCTCCCCCACCAAATGACTACATAGCTTAAGTCCCCAAAGAGGACAACATTGGTGTCTTGACTGTGTGCATGGAGGATTTCCCACGAGCAAGCGGCACCAGGCACAACATCTGCCCTTGTCTGTCTTTCCTGCTCTTCAAGACACATTCTGTTAAACAAACAAATCAGCTTTGGCTAAATACACATTGACAGTTTCAAGTGGTCTTGAAACTTTAGTAAGATATCTATAGGCATTGTTTAACTTTCATCTTAACTCTAGACTCTGAGGGTCTTTTTATTCTTATTTTTCTAAAGAAAATGTTCTGCTTCTTATGCTGAGGTTGTACCAGGACATGTTTGGATCCTCTTCTGGTGTCACTGTTGTTGGTAGGGACAATCTGTGGATTCACAGTCACCTAAGTATTTTATAAATAAAGCTGTAAGATTCTCCCCTTAGTTACCACCCCCATATCACTGGCTCAAGCTCCCCAGATGGCCAAGAGTCTGTGCCAGCAACACAGGAGCCTAGAATAAAGTGAGACAGGATGTATAGACCGGCCTGCCTGCCCCTCATAACGACCTTCTTCAACACTACATCTCTGACTTCAAGCACCCCTCATCCCCTCAGTCCTGTCAGAGGAAGGGCTCCCAAAGTGTCTCTCCTGGTCTAGGACATGCTGACCACTAGGGAATTCTTCAGTGTTTCTAGTTATTCTGACTTTGGCATCAACTCTCTCCTACTGTCCGGAACCACTCGGCTCTCTACAAACAGTCCCCTAGGATTGTATGCAGCAGCTACCTGTGAATACATTACCTCCAAGGCCTGAATCTCAGGATTCAAACCATGATTCCCAACCTGGGGCAAATACATAAATCACAGTAAAGCACATGCTCTGCAAGAGCTCCCTGGAGAGGACAACAAATGCTTGAGAGAACAGACGCCTGCCACCTCCAGCATAATCCCCAAGACATGCTTAGACTCAGAGCTAACTCCTATTTATTTTCCTCTTGGCTTATTTTCTCCCTTGTCACATCTGAGTAAGTCCCTAAATTCTCTTCATGCCACATCATCTCTTGAAAATTAAAGAAGGGTAGCTTCTTACAGTCTTGTCATTTCCAAACCCAGAAGAAAGGGCTGTATGGATATCACTGAAGAGATGTGGTAGGACTGCTACCCCAGATGATTAAGGACCAGCCTTTTCCTTTCAGAAGGTAAAGCAAGTAACACAGGAAGCCATTGAGTTATCTAAAAGCACACAGATGTGGTAGCTGCTCTGGCAGTCAGATTTCCAACCTCTCTGGTATCCTCAAAGGATACATGTCCCCCCACTTGTTAAGGACAGTCTTTTGAGTTGACTTCCTGGGCATTTTCCTCATCTTTAAATAAATTCATATTTCTTAGTGGCCTTAGGAAATACCAGTATTTCCCTAACTGCTTTTCCATCTGGGGAAATTTTAATTCCAGCTGTGGAGGCTCACCTGTCCAAAGTCTGAGAGTTTCCTGCTCAGGACTGGGTTCTCCACGACCGCAGCTGACATGCTGGCTCCCAGCGAGTGAGGTCTTCAGCCCTCGGCAGCAGATTCTGAAAGGTTTGCTCTCAGGACGTGAGGCTGATGGTTTTAACCTGGCTCTTGGGAGACAGGACAGGAGAGGTTTCAAAGGGTGTCTTGCGGTCTGCAAGGTCACTCTTCCAGTGGGCGTTGCCCTGACGTAGCAGTGCAGGGGCAAGAGTAGTCCGTGTGCAATCCCAGGTCACTAGTCCTGGGCTGCCCCAAGTGGAGGCGTGGTGGAAGGTATGGCAGCCACGGCAGGACTCATTTGTCAGACTGCCCTGGGTAAGAGAAGAAGGCAAAGAGTCCAGACCACCTGTATCCTGGGGCTCAGACAGGTTTGGCATTGCTGAAACATTGGGGTGCCTGGAGTCTGGATTCTCTGCAACTGGAGGGAACCAGGGACAGCCTGCTGATAATAGTTAAGGATAATCATCCCCTGGTGGCAAGAAATAGAGCAGGGATCCTGATTTAAATGCTCCCACCCTCAACTCACCTTTTATTAACCACCAAACACGCCACTGTCCTTGGCATTCTCTTCTTTAGAAAACCACAGCAGAAGACACTGTGGCGCTGAGGATAAGAGCTAAAGACCAAAGGTGGGAGCCCTGGGGCTAGAATCCAGCCAGTTTCAGCTACCTACATAGTGGCCATGGACTCTGCAGAGAGGACAGAGGGGCCACCTTGCTAAGATGTTTCAGGCACATCAGTAATGAGAATGAGGTGATGCATTCAATGTCCGGGCAGTACCGTTCTCGCCACATATTCAAACACTGGATAAGTGGAAGATAATGAATGAAAGTCTGTCTCCAGAAGGTGACAACAGACAGTTATTGAGCATTTGTTCTGCGCTCCTGGTGGTGTCGTAGGCACTGGGACCACAGAGGGAACACGTGACCTCCCTGCCAGCAGTGCACCATTCTAAGGACTCAGCCTCAGGGGACAAGAAAGTGGCAAGATGAGCTAGGAGTGAGCTGGTGGGTACTGGGGAGTGGTCTCCAAATGGACATGAAGGCGTCATGACAGAACCCAATTTTCAGAGGAAGAAACAGAGATGAGATATTCATTGCTAGCAGGAAACACAAAATATAAAAACACAGGAGGGTCCGTTTCTGAAAGATGTGAGAAGTCAGGGCCATCAAGGACTCAAAGCCTGCTTAATATTTACCCAGGCAAAGTTAGTGGGCTGTGAGGAAACAGGCCAATAATAGAAGGTGCTAGAAGTCCACCCCATCCCCTCCCACAATTCTTTGACCTAATAACCAAGTATCTGCCAAAAAAGAAAAACAACATTTCAAGTTTGAGATTCAAAACAAGTGGATTCATTCCTCATCAGAAAAACAGCTGCTTCCACCCATGCCTCGGTTTCTTTGTCTTTAAAATGTGGGTCTGGGGCTATTGTTCAGGATTCTTTGAATCTCCATAGTGCAACACTTTCTCCTGAATTCCAAGAACATCAATATTGTAAGAATAATTTCTGTCTCAAAGGACCCCTTGGGTGTCTCATTAATCTCCCTTCTAATAAGTTTCAAGTTCATGATCTTGACTTTCTCCCTCTCTGTCTGACTTCAGTGTCCCTCTAGAGTAGTAGCTCTCAATGTGTGGGTCGCGACCCCTCAGTAAATCCCCTCTCTCCAAAAATATTTACATTATGATTCATAACAGTAGCCAAGTTACAGTTATGAAGTAGCAACACAAATAATTTTATGGTTTGGAGTCACCACAACATGGGGAGCTGTATTAAAGGGTCGCAGCGTCAGGAAGGTTGAGAACCCCTGCTCTAGAGGTTGTAGATGTGAAATAGGGTCCTCCATTCAGGACTATCTTAGAAACGCCACTTTGTCCCTTATCAGTGTTGGTGTGCCACAGAGGGCAGTGCCATCAGAAGAACCTGCAATATGAAGGTCTGGTAATGATGAAGGGCACAGTTGCAGCAGCCTGATCTGCATGCGTGCTGTGTGCTCAACACCAAGCCAGGCTCTTTGCATGTATGCAGCATTTCATTTTTTCCTGCCATCAGTCCTATCCTCTAAACAGACAAAGCAATGGCTGCCCAGGAAATTTCAATCCACAGCTGGAATTCAAACAATGTTTGATTCAAGCCCAAAGCCTTGGCCCTTAAATCTTCTTTCTCTCCTTTTTGAAATAATCATGTGGTTTTTAGGAGAACATAGCGATGACCCTTCTCTTTTCTCGGCACACCAGTTAAAAATAGAATTCTCAATCCATTTCACGTTTTTTTTAAAGTGCCCCAAGTCTAGGTTGAAAAAAAAAAAAAACAGTATACTTCACTGTCTGCTGTCTCAGAGAAAAGAATACTAACAGTTTCTTAATTAAAAACAACAACAACAAAAACCCGACTCTGTGAGCAGGCATGGCTTAGTAATGTAGTTGCCTAGCATCCCAGAAGTCCTAGGTTTGATCCCCAACACTTCAGAAAACTGGGTGTGGTGGTGCATGCCTGTAATCTCAGCACTGGGAAAGTACAGGAGGAAGTCGGAAATTCAATAATCCTTGACTACAGAAGCAAGTTCAAGCCTAGCCTGAGCTATGTGAAAACATGTCTCCAAAAACAAACAAACCAAAAATTTGCTTGGGCAAAAGAGGGATCACATTTATCTACGGACCAGCACAAACCTGCCTTCGCAGGGGATTGCTGGCGAAGTCAAGTTTGTAGATGACTGGGTGGAATAGGTGTTGTAGCTAACAGGGGCAGTGGCAGGTGCTAAGTAAAGGCAGAGGAAAGTGCAGATCCAGATGTTTTCATGCCGACAGTCTGCAGACCACTGGGCCACTTTAAAGGATGTACAGGAGGGAGAGCGATGTAGAAGAGGAGCATCCAGCACCGGACTTGGCAATCTTAGCGCTGATTCCGTTGATTTAAAAGTTCAAGATTGCCCAACCTTTGCTAGTTTATCGACTTCTCTCTATTTAACTTCATGCGTACGAGCCTGTTAATCATAATCCACGGATTCCTGGCACACAATCAAAGCCTACGAGCCACTTTTGTTACTTGATTTGCTCATTCTCTTTCATCTTGAGAAATCAAGATAAAAGAACATCCTGGGAGCCTTCATGTCTGATGTTAGGTGGGTGCACAGGAGTGTGTTTTCCATGATATGTGATGTTGCTCTATAGGTTTTTTATGGCATATAGAGGTACCATAGAGTTCAGATTCTGCACTGAAGGTTTTGTCATGCCCAGGGATGTGAACTTAGTTCGCTGATGACCTGTTCTGGTGTAAAATATCTTCTGTGTGTAACCACTGTTGTTGCTATTTGATGTAAGTTTCTGATGTTGTAACCTTCATTGGCTTTGCAAAATCCTTCTGACTATGGAGTGAAGTTCATGTGTTTTCATCATAAAGTGTTGAATTGGAGAAATGACTTTTAGAATTTACTAAAAGAAGTATGTGATCTATTCCATTTGGTCTGTTAATATGGCTAAACATTAATAAGATAACATGTAGGATTATAGCCATAGATTTTTCAGATGTTAAATAGTTTTCATTCTAGGGTAACCTTTATTTAATGGTTTATTATTTTAAATGTGCTATTACATATGGTTAGTTCATATATTTTAATTTTCTTACATTTATTTTTGTGTTTATTTGTGTATGTGTGTGTTCAGGTCTGTACATGTGTAGAAGCCAGTGGACAACTTGCAGAGTCTATTTTTTCATTCCACCATGTGGGGTGCAGACATGGTGCACTCCATCTGTGCTCCCACAATCTCAAGCCATCCGGATTGATGGCAAGAGCCTTTACCCACTGAACCTTCTCATTGGCCTATCAGGTGATGTTTCATGGAGGATTTTTCTACCTATGTTTACAGGAAAATAGAACCATCATCTCCTCACGTGTCTGTCATCTCATTTTGGAATAGCAATTATAAAAGCTTTATGGAGGACCTTGCATAACTTTCTCTGTTTTTATAATTTTGGTAATCATCTTCAAAAGACATAAGTGATTTGTTTCTTAAGAATTTGGTCAGTCTTCTTACATACACAGGGCCTGAGATAAGGAGGTAGGAGGAGGCATTCAGGGATAGGTTTAAGGATACATTTCAGTTTCTTTAACTGTTACTCTTATTCCTATAATCTATTACATCTCTTCTTACATTTTCCCTGGGAATTAATGCAGTCTCTTAAGGGTTCCATGAAATGAATATATTACAGTTCATAACATTATTTCCCTATCTATCTAGATGTATTTCCCTCCTTTTTCTGTATGTCATTATTATTGTTTTGTTGGGGGTGGGGTGCACAGGCATGTGTATATGTGTGCGTGTGTGCATGCGTGCATAGAGGATGACCTCTGGTGTCTTCCTCCTCAGATGGCATCCACCTAGATCTCTCATCATCCTGATGCATGGTTAGGCTGGGCTGGTTGGGTAGCAAGCCCTGGGGATCCTCCTCTCTCTAACTCCCAGGACTGGGATTGCAAACACGTGCCATCTCTCACTGTGCCTGGCTTTTTGCATGGGTTGTGAGCATAGAACTTTGGTCCACCTGCTTGCACAACAAGCACTTTCCAGGCTGGTCTGCCTCCCCGGGCCTGTGTTTTATTTATTTATATCTTCTCTCATCTTGTCTGATGTTTGTCCATGAAGGGTGGGCATTTCATCACACTGATCTCCTCTCTGCTCTTCTCTCTTTCATTGGTTCCTTTCTCCTTGTCCTTACTGTTCCCTTGACTGGGTTTGTTTTGTTAATCTTTTTCCAATTTCTTGGGTCAAGCACTGGTTTGTTTTCAATCATCTGTTTCCTAAGAAATACATTTAAAATGAAATATTTCTAAGTACTATTGTAGTTGAGGCTCATTAATTTGGAGTAAGTGTATGTGTGAGCGTGCGTGTGTGTGTGTGTGTGTGTGTGTGTGTGTGTGTTATACTACTGTTCAGTTTGAGGTTTTAAATATAATCTTCTCAATAATTGAAAGGCTTTAAAGAGTACATTATTTCAATTCCAGGTACTTGGGATACTCTCAGCTTTTCTCTTTATCTCTAATCAGCCTCTACCAATGTATTGTCTACTGGCAAAGTGCAAGTCTCTTTCCCTAAACATATTCTAACACAATGTGAGGTGGAATATAACAACCAGTGATAAATATCAAAAAGTT